TTCCTAGCTCGAGTGGATCTTTCTTTTGTTATTTTAAGAGCCTTATTAATGCTCATATTAATTATTGAAACATTTGTCAATTTGTCTTAAATTTTAGAACGGTTCAGCACGGACGTCCATTGGCCATAACAAATCTCTCATTGCACTTTCTTTTATTTACGAGGCATTGCTATTAGAGCATCTCTGTTCAACTTTCAACATTAATTAAATTTGAACACATGTCAAATAATGAATGGAATGTAAATCCATGTAATATAAATGTAAAAAAAAAAAAGACTTTAATTTGGAATGCACATCTCCAATGCATCCCTTTCAAAAGATTAAAATAAGTACATGTGGATTTTATTTTATTTAATAATAAATAAGCTAAAAAAATTAAAAAGGAAATCGATGTGAAATAGGTTAGATTTTTTACGATATGACTTTCTAACACTCTTTGGAAAACTAGAAAGTGGGCTTCACACTTTGGAAATTTATTTTCTCCATGTCATCATAAAAGATCCCATAACATTATGGATTGGAGAGTAATTTTTTTATTCACTTTTTAACTTGATGATTTGGCTAACATTTCATTAAATCAACATCTCACATTGGAGATGCTCTTAGTCATTCAGATACTGTTGACTTGAATGACGTGGACGACGAGTGACGTGAACGGCTGTTTGTGTGACGAAGCATGCGTGCCTTTGTTATTTTCTTTTGCACTAAAATCGCACTTCTCACATATAGAGTTGTATTTGTTACAAACCTTAGGGTTTTGGACAATTAATATTCACAAGAGGAGGCCCCATATATATAGACTTAGGACATATAGGACATATGGGTTGTGGGCCTATAATATAACAGTTAACACCCCCCTTCAAACTCAAGGTGGAGGTGGAGGATCCGAAGCATTGAGTTTGAGCAAGTGAAGTCGATGCTTCTCTCTAGTTTGTGCTTTGGTGAAAAAATCAACTATTTGCAGTTCTGACGGCACATACTGAAGAACAATTGTTTTCTGATGACAGTAAGATCGAGTAAAGGAAGCATCAACACCAATGTGTTTTGTAAGTTCATGCTTTACTGGATTCATTGGCAATTTGAATTGCTCCAGTATTATCACAAAGAAGAGGAGTAGGATCATCACATGGAATACCAAAATCGGCTAACAACCATCGAAGCCATATAATTTCTGAAGTGGTAGTAGCAAGTGCTCGAAGTTCGGCCTCTGTACTAGATCGAGATACAGCTGTCTGCTTCTTGGACTTCCATGTAAGGGGAGAAGAACCAAGAAAAATGCAATAACCAGTGACAGAACGACGATCGGTTGGATTACTCGCCCAAGTAGAATCCGAGTAAGCATGAACCTGAAGCGGACTATCACGAGCATAAAATAAACACTGAGATGATGTCCCCCTTAAGTATCGTAGCACGCGAAGCAAATGCCCAAAATGAACTGAAGTAGGAGCACTCACAAATTGACTCAATATATGAACTGCGTGAGCAATATCGGGTCTGGTAACAGTAAGATAAACAAGACTGCCGACAATATGGTGATAGCGAGAGGGATCCTCAAGAGGAGTACCATCAGTAGGACGAAGCTGTAAGTGAAGATCCATAGGTGTAATCGATGTCCGATTACCAGTAATACCGGAATGAACAAGAAGGTCTTGTATGTATTTGGACTGAGAAAGGTAATAGCCCGAGGCAGAATGCATCACCTCAATGCCCAAAAAGTAGCTAAGGGGACCCAAATCAGACATCTGAAATTGTTGACCAAGTTGCTTCTTGACATGGGAAATATGCTCTTCATCATTTCCCGTAATCTAACATATCATCAACATATAGAAGAAGTAGAGTACGCCCACGTGAATAGAGATGAATAAACAAAGCAGGATCATGATCACTAGGGGCGAAACCAGCAGCCCGTATGACAGAGACAAAACGCTCAAACCAAGCACGACGAGCCTGTTTGAGACCATATAATGCACGATGTAGACGACAAACATGTCCAGAGGGAGCATCAACACCCGGTGGTGGCTGCATATAAACTTCTTCATGCAAATCACCATGAAGGAAAGCATTCTTCACATCCATCTGAGATATGGTACAAGAACGAGTAGCAGCCACTCCAATGAAAGTACGAACATGTGAGCAACGGGAGCAAAAGTCTCATCATAATCTCGCCCCTGAGTCTGCTGAAAGCCTCTAGCAACAAGACGAGCTTTATATCTCTCAATGGAACCATCTGACTTGGTCTTAATCTTAAAGACCCACTTACAGGTGATAGGGACGACATGCGATGGTAACAGAACAAAATCCCAAGTGCCAGTACGATCAAGTGCAGCAAGTTCCTCTGACATAGCCAGTTGCCATTCTGGAATACTCAAAGCTTCCTGATAGGTTGAGGGCTCATCAATAATAGCGCCCGCACGTGGAAAGCCCAGCTTATCAGGAGGCACAATAGTAGCACGATCACGTAAATTATATCTCTGACCAACCTCAGATTCTCCAGGAATGGCATGTGATACATCAGAATCAACAGAATCATCTAGGACGGGAGCATCAGGACTGGCCACTGGAGTAGAATGAGGCGGATGCGTTGTGTGACCTTTGGAACGACGAGTATAGACTTGTGTGATGGGTATTTTATGTGGTAGAGGCTCATCAAAATTAGGTGGTGCAGGCTCATCAGGAGTGGAAGATGGAGAAGAGACATGGACATCATCATCAAGGAAGGAAATAGGTGGAAGACATAAGAATGACGTAGACTCTGAAGAAAAAGAAGATGTGGGAGGAGTGGAAGGGTTATAAAAGAAAGGACGATCCTTGACAAAAGTGACATCACGAGATATACGCATGCGACGAGCGGAAGAATCATAACAACGATAACCCTTATACTCAGAACTATATCCCAAAAAGACACACTCAACAGACTGAGCAGTCAGTTTACTGCGCTCACGAGGAGCAAGCAATACATAACATGTACATCCAGAAACCCAAAGATGATCATAGCTAGGGGAAATACCAAAAAGAACCTCACCAGGACACTTACCAGACAGTTTAGAAGACGGTTGTCGGTTGATAAGATAAACAGCTTCTCCCCAAAAATGAGAAGGAACAAATGAGGCAATGAGAAGGGTTCTAGCAGTCTCAATGAGATGGCGGTGTTTTCTTTCTGCAACATCATTCTGAGCATGTGCACCAGGACAGGAGAGCTGGGCAAGAGTGCCCTCAGAGGTCAAAAATTGACGAAAATTGTTAGACATATACTCACCACCAGAATCAGAACGAAAAACTCGAATAGGAGTAGAAAACTGAGTATGAACCATGCGAGCAAAATCTTTATATATGGAACACAACAGAGAACGATGTTTCATAAAATAAACCCAAGTATATCGAGAATGATCATCAATAAAAAGAACATAATATTTATTGCCACCTTTTGTAGGAAAAGGGGACAGACACCATACATCAGAGTGAATAAAATCAAAAGGTCTAGTAGAATGAGAAATACTAGTAGGATATGGGAGTTGCAGCTGTTTTCCGAGCTTGCAAACCCTTACAATGAAAACTATACTCGATAGACGTACGACCTAAACAACCAGTACTAATCAAGGTAGACAAACGAGACCCACTCAAATGACCAAGACGATGATACCACTTGGCAAAAGATGAGGTGGAAGACGAGGCAACGGATGACACACGAGCGGTAGAACCAGTGGAAGAGGGAAGATGTAAAGTGTCTAAGACGTAGAGGCTCGAAGAACCTTTACGGCGATGGCCAGTCTCAATCACAACCCCGCTTCGACGATCCTGAATAAAACAAGATGAGTCATCAAATCCAACAAAACAGTTTTGATCAGTGACCTGACCAACTGAAAGAAGATTCATAGATAATTTAGGAACATAAGAGATATTAGGCACTGAAAAACGAGAATTGCAGAGAGAACCCTCATGAGTGATATGGCAAGAAGTGCCATCAGCTGTCTGAATAGAATCACCATTGGGGACCGCCTTGCAGACAACCAACTGGGAGTGATCAGATGTCACATGAAAAGATGCTCCAAAATCGAGGACCCAAGACTGAGGAGCATGGACAGGAGAGGCAGCAGCGACAGAAACAGACCCCTTTATAGCAGAAGTCGTACCACGAGCCCGAGCAGCCCGGCGCGCACGATACTCAGCCAATTTTTCTGGATGCTGAGTAAAACAATTATCGTGACTGTGACCGATCTTCCCACAATGCTTACAAGGATCTGGAGAGTCACCTTTGGGTGCACTAAGCCGTTGAGAAAATGTCCTTTGAGGAGCTGCCAAAACACTCTGCGATATAGACGGCGGAGCAACTGACAGAGAATGGAGACGAGTCTCTTCAGCAATCAAATCAGATAATGCTTGTGCCATGGTCAGAGTAGAGGAGTTATGAAGCAACCGTGTACGACTGGACTCAAATTCTGCTCTGACTCCCATGACAAAGCGATAAATAAAGAACTTCTCAACAAACTTATGTGTTGAACACTCCTCCGCCGAGCACTGAGGTACCATAGAGATCAATGGTCCCATCAATCGATCAAAAGCAGAGTAGTATTCATCAATGGACATGGAATTCTGTTCAATCACGTGAATTTGTTGCATAAGGGTGTGTAAGAGAGCACCACTATCCTGAACATAGCGCTGCTGCAAATAAGACCACATTCCTTTGGCTGTCCGAAATGAAGAAAGGCTCATAATCATGGACTGCTTGACACTGTTGACGATGGCAGCCATCACTTTCCCATCATTAATCTGCCATACTTTGATTTCGGTAGCATTGCTATTATCGGCCTTCCTTTCGGGTCAATCATCAGTCAAGTGAAAGGCCAAACCGTAACCCCTTAACACAGTTTCAATAGAGAAAGCCCACTCCCGATAATTCTGACCAACAAGAGTAATATTGATAGCAATTCCATGAAGTTGCGACATGATTAGACAAACACGTAGTAACAAGCCTCGACGAAATGAATGATAGTGCTGCGACGGGCAGCATTGGGGCACACAATAGGTGAGTGACAACAAAAAAAACAGAAATTGACGACGGTCGGGACAAATTAGGGTACAAAAACCCTAACCCCGAAGAGTGACGGATCTGAAAATGCACAAAACGAACACCAAAACCTCTCGAAACAGAAAACAAAGGACACTGGCAGCAAGAGCACAGAATTCCGAGTTCACGGATGGTCGCCGGAAAAAATTCCAGCCAGCCACGCGCCCTCACGAGCCGGCGCGTGGGATTGACGGAAGACAGTCCCGGCGGCGCGTGTGACTCACACGCGCGGCTTCTGATGGCGAGACTTTGCCGGACGGTCGTTCTCGGGGCGGAGATTTTAATGGTGTGGGAGGTGAGATCGAAAAAAAGATATTTATGTGTAAGGCTGTGATACCATGTTACAAACCTTAGGGTTTTGGACAATTAATATTCACAAGAGGAGGCCCCATATATATAGACTTAGGACATATATGACATATGGGCTGTGGGCCTATAATATAACAGTTAACAGTATTAGCTCCTTCTGTTTCAATTTTTCCTGTTGCACTTTTGTCGATGTGTCGTGCTCTTATTGGCAGCCCTTAAGCTTTGTGTTTTAGGTGTTGTAATAGGATTAGCACTCTTTTCTTTTTCAGACGAACTTTCTGTAAGCGCAACTTGAGCTCTTATGGCGTATGAAAAAATGTTGGCAGGAAATTATTTCTTCGTTGCGCATTTTACTCTCAATTTTAGCTAGTTTTACATGGTGCCAGAGCAGGTAACTCAGAACAGTCATGGCGAGAAACGAGAATCGAGAGCCTGGGAAGGAAATTGTTAACAGGAGCAGTTATGCGCGAGATTCAGATCCGGTTTCTTTTCACAGTTCAGATCATCCTGGAATGGTCCTGGTTACGAGTCAATTGACAGGGACAAATTACTTACATTGGAGCAGAGCAAGGCGTTTAGCTCTTAGTGCGAAGTCCAAGCTCGGTTTTATTTATGGAACCATCGAAGTACCTGAACAAGGTACGGAGGAGTATGCTCAGTATGAGAAGGTCGAATTTATGATAATCTCATGGATGCTCAACTCAATCTCTAAGGACATAGTCAAAGCCTTCATTTACGTCAAAAGTTCAAAGCAGCTGTGGGATGAACTAGAGGAAAGGTATGGTGAAAGAAATGGTCCTCTGAGGTACCAATTGCTGAAGAAAATAGCCAATTTCTCACAAGGTACACAATCTGTCACTACATACTATGCTAAATTGAAGTGCCTGTGGGATGAGTATAGCTGCCGTGTGTCATTGCCAGAATGTCTGTGAATCCGGTAAGAGATTCATTGATAATATAGAGATCAAGGGTATGAAATTCCTTATGGGACTAAATGAGGTTTTTGAGCCTGTGAAGAATCAGATATTATTGATGGATCCCTTGCAGACTGTTAACAAAGCCTATTCCATGATACTGAAAGTGGAAAAACAAAAATCAGTTCATCTAAGTACCTCAGATCCTTTGAAATCAACAACTTTAATGGTGAAAAACAACTTTGGAAAATTTGGTGATAGAGGTGGAGGATATGTTAGGGGAAATGTAGGAAGGAGCTTTGGTGGACATGCAGGTAATACCATGGGAAGAGGAAGAGGCAACATTAGAATGTCCAAAGAAAGAGATAGCTAAGCTTGTTTGTACTAAGCTTGTTTGTACTCACTGTGGGTACAATGGACACGAAGTTAATGGTTGTTTTAAATTGCATGGATA